TATTAATAAAACAATTGACTAAACTTGTGTATTAGTCAATCATTTGCCCCATGTAAGGGAATCCGGATTCCGGAATCCTAGAAAATTTTGCTAGTGGAATCCGGAATCCCATTAATGATTGAAAAAGAACCCAAGTCCCCTGACAAATACTGGAATACAGTGATTGGAATCCTGTCTTGATTCCCTTACATGAGGCGAAATCATCAAGAAACCAAAGCATGTATAAGTACCGTATTTACCTTTAGTGATCACGCTTACCTGAGCCTACAGGAACCAAAACGTCCCACGTTTCCTTTATCTCTTTCGACATTTTCAAGTTCACCCCTCTGAATACTTTACCCTTACGGCGACCATGAAGCGGATGCTGGCATTTTCTTGAAGGACAATACTTTACTCCAAGTAAAACGCGATGCTTTGGGCAAATAACCATATCCTTACCTTCCTCGTCAAACAAACCGACACGAGCAAGTATCAGCTCTCTCTCAGAGGCTACACATTATTGTGTTGTTTGCAATTCTCTCAAGTGCGCCTTTACATCACTGACGCAAGAATTCAAAGGAAAAAACTGTGTACGATTAGGGTATCCAGTTGATACGTCACACTCACTGGTACAGTGCACGGCAAAAGAGCACGAGAACTGCGACATCGTTTATAACGAGAGACCTTTTCACCTCTACATCCCATACCTCTGACCGATCGGCGCATGTGAGGAACACTTTTAAATATCCATGCGCGTGCACGCTTTTTCCAATCAACGGTCTATTTATAGAAAGCGTGTGAATCTCAACACTAGGCTATTAGGTCTATTACATATCCTAAGCCCGAATTCAACATTTACGATCGCCGAACCTGTTTACAAGTAAAAACTCCGTTTTTAAAGAAGAAAACAAAACAACTCAATTCGTTCGCGTCAATTTGTATTTTTAAAGCGAAAGTTTGTTCTGTTTGTAGTTATTATGGAAAATCGAATCAAGCTATCAAATTACAAAGATGTATGCGCTTGCCAGGACGTAATTTCCAGGGATTAGAAAAAAAGAAGCGTTTGGCTGTTTACTTTTTTCCATTTTTCTCCTTTTCAGGCTTATTAGGCAACCGACACTGAGTCGCAAGCAAATCAATTTATTTTCAGAAAAGGGAATTCTTTTGGATAACGTTTTCTGTATCAAGATGCAATGTGTCGTGCATGTTTCAAGCAATTGTACTATTCTTTTACTAGACGAACAAAAGCAAATTTTATTATACAATCATTCTAAAGTTCAAATACAGACAATGTAAGCATTTTGACAGTGTTCTGTGACTCAGGTGTTTGACTTAGCGAAGAGTAAATTTCGTCACGAAGTTCACTTAGACAATAATAGAGGTCATCATAAGGCCGCCGACTCTTATTTTCATGGCTTAGGACAAACAAAAGCTTTTGAAATGGTTCAGTTTCATTGAAGTTTATAGTGTGTAACCATTTTGAGGCATTTTCTGTCTGTTGCTACGTTATCATTACCGAATTAGCGCACTATAATGAAAGGAAAAAAAAAGATTGACGTGGGTACCCTGTAGTGGGCCCTGTTTTTTATTTAGGCAATTAGATAGAAATGGTTCTATTTCATTAAAGTGTATGGCGTGTAATCATTTTGTGGCATTGTCTGTCCGTTGCTGTGCGATAATTACCGAATTAGCGCGTTATAATGAAAACAAAATTGACACTGGTACCCTGTGGTGGACGACGTGTTTGCAGTCTTCTTAAGAACGTCACATTGACACTGTGACCTCACCGGGCTGACCCTGCCTTCAGTAGCCATTCTGAGGAAATTATTAAGGTAGTAAAGGCGGTGCTGTATTTGAGGGGTGGGCTGCCATTCTGCCGACGTCTCTACTGCGCCAAGAGACTCTTGGGATCCAGACGACGTCCGCGACAAAGCGTTTAAATGGCGGTCGCTGGGGTCTGAGTCGCGATCGCTATGCTGGAAGAGAAAAAAGCTGTATCTAGGAAATATCTAATTATTCCATCAGTTTGGCATTATTACCGTATAGTCAGCGTGCACAAGTTTTACATTAAAGAATTCCTGTTGGCCGGTATGCTTTGCGCCTGTTGGCTTTGTTTATGAACGCTATACGAATCTGCTCAAGCCTTTCTAAGATTAATAACAGGAGTAGAATGAGCTTTGAATAGTAATTGTTACGAGTTATTGGTGATTATATTTTATCAAATTTCGCGCTATATGCTTCAAATGAAGTTCGATAAATAAGAGTGAGCAACATTGAAAACCACGACTGCAAAGCATACTCGGAGACAGGCATTCTTTGAGAGGAGACAATTTTATGACTCAACCATATAGTGACTGTCAGTATAACAACTAGTTTTAACGAATTCCGATTTTATTCAAAGTCTATGCAAATTAGTGTGAGAACCAACATTATGCCCAATACATCAAGCAACAACGACCCCTCTCCCTCCTTCTCTGATTTGTTCTAAAGATCAGTGGATTATGACAACAATTACAAAGCAAGTGACGCAAACGTCCCGCCCCTTTGAAATCAGTAATCTCATTCGCACACTGCCAAAGAAGAACTTACCTCACTAATGAGATCTTCTTGGAATCTTACTTGAAGGACAGGGGCAGCAGACAATTGTTCCGATTCTTCTGTAGCAGGCGGTAGTAACTGTGGTGGCTGTACTATTTCCTCTGCGGACTCCGTAGAACATGAAGGTTCGTGAATCTGAGGCTCTGGGTGAGACGTGGACGCCAGTCGGGGATCTTGCACTTTGGAATCCGCGTCAGTAGAACCTACAGTTCTTAGATGGTCACCACGGCATTGTCTACAAACCCACAAACCCCTGCGTACAAGAATAAACCTAAAATGAGTTTTGGTAGCATTATGGTTTGTTAGTTTGTGGTAACAGGCTGGATAGAGCAAATTGTTTGGAACTTTTCCCAAGCAATAAACGGCTTGCCTGCATCTATTTAGGCATTCTAATATTTCCTAGAGGGAGGGATTTTACCAAGCTAGATTCTAAACAGGTTTGTGCCGCCATTCCTAGTCAAAAGAGGGCCCCAGAGGGCCTCACCTTTAAAAAAAACATATACCTGAGGAAGCAGAGACCTCTTCTTCTGAAATTGGGGTTGTAAATTTGACCCTTTTGGAAGTATTAGTGATTAGTGCTGTAGAAAATACTAGAAGTCCGCGCGATGTGGTAGGCCAGCGTGGGCCATCACTAAATGTATAATTAGCGGCAATTCCAGTGCGGATTTTAAACAAAAATCTGATAATTTTTCAGTGAGGCGCTTATTTTCACGCCCCCTTGTAGAACACTCATTCTTAATTGACACCGGGATCTATATTAAAAGGCCTGGCCCTGAGGTTTCGCAAAAAAAATTTCTGTATAGTCATTGTAGCTTTTGAGAGAATTGCCCTATCCCCCGCCCCTCGTGGGGAAAAATGACCGATTAGAAGCAGGAACCTATAACTGTGGGCTACCGTTAGAAGGTAACTAGCTAAGATACAAAAAGGAAAACAACGGAAGGGCAAATTGACCTGGTAAATTTCAAAATAAAAGAAAACTCTTGTAGATCAAAATTCACCACACGATCGCTTATTTGTTTGTTTGTTTGTTATTCTTTTGCGAAATAAATACCATACCCTATAACTCATAATTAATTTCTTACAATATCTTCCATCCTTCCCTCCCACCCCCGCCACAGAAAAAAGGAAGAAAAAAAAACTCCTTTCCCACTTGTGTATATATTAATAAAACAATTGACTAAACTTGTGTATTAGTCAATCATTTGCCCCATGTAAGGGAATCCGGATTCCGGAATCCTAGAAAATTTTGCTAGTGGAATCCGGAATCCCATTAATGATTGAAAAAGAACCCAAGTCCCCTGACAAATACTGGAATACAGTGATTGGAATCCTGTCTTGATTCCCTTACATGAGGCGAAATCATCAAGAAACCAAAGCATGTATAAGTACCGTATTTACCTTTAGTGATCACGCTTACCTGAGCCTACAGGAACCAAAACGTCCCACGTTTCCTTTATCTCTTTCGACATTTTCAAGTTCACCCCTCTGAATACTTTACCCTTACGGCGACCATGAAGCGGATGCTGGCATTTTCTTGAAGGACAATACTTTACTCCAAGTAAAACGCGATGCTTTGGGCAAATAACCATATCCTTACCTTCCTCGTCAAACAAACCGACACGAGCAAGTATCAGCTCTCTCTCAGAGGCTACACATTATTGTGTTGTTTGCAATTCTCTCAAGTGCGCCTTTACATCACTGACGCAAGAATTCAAAGGAAAAAACTGTGTACGATTAGGGTATCCAGTTGATACGTCACACTCACTGGTACAGTGCACGGCAAAAGAGCACGAGAACTGCGACATCGTTTATAACGAGAGACCTTTTCACCTCTACATCCCATACCTCTGACCGATCGGCGCATGTGAGGAACACTTTTAAATATCCATGCGCGTGCACGCTTTTTCCAATCAACGGTCTATTTATAGAAAGCGTGTGAATCTCAACACTAGGCTATTAGGTCTATTACATATCCTAAGCCCGAATTCAACATTTACGATCGCCGAACCTGTTTACAAGTAAAAACTCCGTTTTTAAAGAAGAAAACAAAACAACTCAATTCGTTCGCGTCAATTTGTATTTTTAAAGCGAAAGTTTGTTCTGTTTGTAGTTATTATGGAAAATCGAATCAAGCTATCAAATTACAAAGATGTATGCGCTTGCCAGGACGTAATTTCCAGGGATTAGAAAAAAAGAAGCGTTTGGCTGTTTACTTTTTTCCATTTTTCTCCTTTTCAGGCTTATTAGGCAACCGACACTGAGTCGCAAGCAAATCAATTTATTTTCAGAAAAGGGAATTCTTTTGGATAACGTTTTCTGTATCAAGATGCAATGTGTCGTGCATGTTTCAAGCAATTGTACTATTCTTTTACTAGACGAACAAAAGCAAATTTTATTATACAATCATTCTAAAGTTCAAATACAGACAATGTAAGCATTTTGACAGTGTTCTGTGACTCAGGTGTTTGACTTAGCGAAGAGTAAATTTCGTCACGAAGTTCACTTAGACAATAATAGAGGTCATCATAAGGCCGCCGACTCTTATTTTCATGGCTTAGGACAAACAAAAGCTTTTGAAATGGTTCAGTTTCATTGAAGTTTATAGTGTGTAACCATTTTGAGGCATTTTCTGTCTGTTGCTACGTTATCATTACCGAATTAGCGCACTATAATGAAAGGAAAAAAAAAGATTGACGTGGGTACCCTGTAGTGGGCCCTGTTTTTTATTTAGGCAATTAGATAGAAATGGTTCTATTTCATTAAAGTGTATGGCGTGTAATCATTTTGTGGCATTGTCTGTCCGTTGCTGTGCGATAATTACCGAATTAGCGCGTTATAATGAAAACAAAATTGACACTGGTACCCTGTGGTGGACGACGTGTTTGCAGTCTTCCTGTGGAATAATTAAATGAGTGCCCAAAGATTTTTTTGCAGATATTGTTAGTATGAAGTCCCGTCTTCTAGACGGTATGCTCCGTTTTCTGAAGCTTGCTCCGGCATTGGAGATATTTTGGCCTAAACTTTGGATATTTCAACAGTTTTCACTATTGGGTGAGAGGGGGGTCTTGGCTGAGATGACTTGTGTCATAGGAACTTGTCGTAGAAGAACGAAACAGTTACAATAAATTGTCTTTGGGTAGGATAACATTCACTGAAAATATGAAAAGATTTGATGGAATTCTTTTAGCAGTAGAGCTTTAATACTTTTGACCAATTTTTAGGTGTTTTTTGGTCATTTTTTTAAAAAAAAAACAAGGGGGGTGGTCAACTCCCCCCGGTTTCGACCAAATTTCCTTAAACGTAGAGTGAAGTAGTTTTGGCTGGACCCCTTCAAACTGGCCAAGTTTCATCGAAATCGGTTAGATGGCTTGTGCCGCCCCTGCCTGGTCGTATCGTGGATGCACTCTTAAATTGGCCTAGCCTAAAAACGCGGGACGGCGTAAAGTGGGACGCATTTATACGCCCAACCCGTTCGAAAACGACTGGGAGGTGTTTTGTCCTTTTCAGAAAACTCTGTTTTGTTCAATGTGTACCTCTACTTTTATGCCTCCCGGTATTACACCAGACGACTTGAACGTCTCCAGCATAAAAACGGCCAGTTAATAACTTGTTTTCCTTTCTTGCCTCTTTATACAATATTTTACTCACTGGAAGTGAATCAAGTTAACCCAGTGTCATAAAGCGAGAATAAGAGAGGGAGCTGTAATTTCTTTTGTTTTTTAGTGAATCGTCTTACGTTTTTTAACTATACTATAATTTATTGTTTTCTAAACTCAATTCCAGCTCTTTAAAACAGACCCGTGAAGTTCAATTCTTGCAAGACAGGCAGAGGTGGAAGCCCGAGCTTCTCTCATATCGCCAAGAAACGACCATACAGTTGACTCCCGATAACTTGAACCCTCGCTAACTCCAACCTCGTGCTAACTCGAACCAAAATTGATTTCCCCTGGATTTCCGTCATACATTTACTGTAATTTTACCCTCAGTAACTCGAACCCTCGATAACTCGGACCTCCCGCTAACTCGAAGTACTGTAGATTTTGTTTCCCTCAGATCATTTCTATATAATTTTACCCTCGATCAGAACTCGAACCATGTTTTGAGCCCCTAAAAAGTCGGGGAAAAAAAACAGTCTACTGGCGTCCGAAACATTGAATTTTGAATTTCCCATTGACGTGTTGTGAGCATATAGTTAACTAGAGAGGCTGATATTGTTTGTCACAAATCTAACGTGAAACAGCTTTACTTCTCAAAACAGTAAAACGCATGCTCTGTTTAGGCAATGTTTTGTTATGTTACGTTCTGATTTATAATCTAGAGGTATCTTCCAATTTTCACTTAACATTTCTACATTTAACTGTGATTAAAATGTTCACTGTGCCGTAAAACAGTTTTTTCCTTACTCCCGGCTATTTTCTTCGAGCTCCCGATAACTCAAACCTTTTTCGATTTCCCTTGAAGGTTCGAGTTTTTGAGAGTCCACTGTATACTATGGTTTCAACAATAATTTCTGAAGAAGGCTGCAACCTCTTCGTCAATTTCCGAAAGACTATGTGTACAGCCCCCCTGGGTGGGTTACTCCCTTATATAAGCTATATAGGTGAAAAATGACATTTTTTGGTCTGAAATAGGGTCAAGATTTGGGGAACCGGGCGGCACACCCCCACCAAGAGTTCCCAGGAGTACCCCCTGGGAGTTCTACGTTTGAAGACATGAATACCAAATATGGACTCCCGGTTCAGGGACCACCCTTGTGGAGCCTAGTCCATGGACCCCTTCGAGGACTCGGACCATGGACTACCCCTGTGGACCACCACTTATTGTTGAAGATGAATTTTCCAGAGGTGTAATCAAATTTTAGGAATCTTCAATGATCTTAAATGGAGGAAACTGTGGTCAGCTTTAATTATCAGGATTATGGGCTCCTCTTACGTTACACTTGTTCAATTTTTTTTCAATTCCATATATACCACCAATTCAATGGGTTCATTCAGTCTGGACGTACCACAATTATATGATGAGTAACCATATTTGAAGGGAAGGGGGGGAGTGGTAGAGAGGAAAAGTCTCCTGCGCAGCTCTATTTATTTTTGGCTTCGCGTTGCGTGAAAATTGAAACAAAAACGGCTGCGTATGACACTACGGAGGAAGCTTATGTCTATGTTTTTGTAACGACAACAATCTCGACTTAAATGAATGGCAATTTACACGAACCAACCTGTAAGTGCCTGCAGACTGACCAACCACATTGTTTGATGATATGCAGGTCATTTTATTTTTGCTTGGAATTCGCGAGCAGGATTCAATACGTTTCTCGACCAATAAACATTTCTATAGGCTATGAGGGAAGGGAAGTCTAGGTCCTCCCTACCTCTACTCGTGTCCCCTTCAAATATTGTTTCTCCTGCCAGACTTAAACTGAACCCATGTATGAAGTTCAGGAAAAAACTGTTGGGCAAGCGTATAATGACTGTTTATTAAAGGAAACTCATTGCAGCAAAACATTGTACATATAAGGCTGAATTACGGATACTTTTGTACTATAACTCCGACAATATGCACAAAAGTAGATAATAAAATCCTGATAATATAAAATGACACAATTTCGCTCATTTTCGTTTAGGCGGCTGGTAAAAATTCATCTTCAAAAATAAGGGGTGGTCCACGAGGGTTGATCTTACGGAAAAATAGGGGGACCTAACTGTAGCAGGTTCTACAAACCGCCTAAAAAGTATCAAATAAACGATGACAAATCGATATTCTTTTATGGCTCAATCAATTCCAAACGTCCCCAACCCCCCCTCCCCCCGGGCATTTGTGAGGAATTTGTCATTTTGTTTTGGAAAAGGTGCAAATGCCCCGGATGGGGCCCGGCGTTCATACAAAAAACCCACGGTGGGGGTTAAAAATAGTGTGCAAATGCCCCACCCCAGGACAACACGAAAATTATATTTTTCCAGTAAATAAGCTGCAAATACCATTTTTATGGGAAATCTCTAATAATCTGGGGTAGCGAATTGATGGAGCAAAAACCACACATACGCATTACTTTAAAGCATAATTATCAAAAAATATTTGTTATAGAAATATCTAAAACAATCTCTGAATAGGCATATTTTTAGCTGAAAAAAGGAAGAATTGACAAATGCCGCACCCCTAATGTGCTCATTAGTTATAATAGCCCGTTCCTGGCGTTAAGAGTCTTAGAGGTTAGAGGCGGGATTCCAGGCCAGGGGGAAGAGGGGGAGGGGGAGGGGGCGGGGGGAGGTGTGGCTCTTGACTCCCTTTTCCTTTAGTAAAATTGAAAAATAATGCAATTTAGGCACTTGATACACAGTATAAGGATATGTGTAACGCTGATAATCTTCGCAAACATTTGCATTCACAGAATGTAAAAATTAAAAAAAACAAAACAAAATAAACACCAAAAACGGTAACTCAAACCTAACTCAATCTTAATTTAAAATTAACTCAAACTCAGCTCTAACTCAACTCAGACTTGTAACTCGATCATTATCCTATCTCAAAAAAGCTAAACGCAAAGAAAAGACGGGGCCGGCTATAAATTCGAACATTTCGATTGAAACTTATTACGCATCGAATGTTTTGACTCTGGGAGGGTACGCAGTGTACCAAATGAACACCTGATTTTGAAAGAAGGGTTTTAATTAGCTTCTAAAAAAAGAAACTGTGGGGTTGCGGTGGTAAGAGTGAAATGCAAACATTTGGTTTTATCAACTGAGTTGATAAAGTAGTTTGGCCTCTGTAGAGGGATTGAAAAGCTGTGGTTTATATATCAGATGCTATTTACCAATCAATTAATAAACTAAGTGTCTGGTCTAAGCCTAGGAGAGTACCCTCGCCTTTAACAACGAGAAAACCAAGGGTATGATCCTATCCATCCCGCAAATGTCCAGAGTACATCACCTTGACGAGTATGATCCTAACATCGCAGTCAGTGGTTATAAACTAAAACGTATTAAATCTTAGAAACTGCTTGGAGTTCACATCAATGAACATCTTAAGTGGGACGATCACATCAAGCACAGGGTATCGGGTTGCTACGCCACTGTATCAATACTAAGAAAACTGTGAAATATCTCGCCAAATGTGAGCTTAGAAAGCAACTAGCAAAAACATTGATTTTGTCAAAACTAGATTATGCCGATCTGGGTTTTTACCCTCTACCACAATTCTTACTTCGCCGTTTGCAACGAGTTGAATTTGCTGCCGCAAGTTTTGTACACGGTCACTATGTTAAGAACTTTCGGGATGTACTTAAGAGCCCATGACTGTAAATATCGAGAATCGCTGGCCAGGCTAAAACAATCGAAAATTCTGATAATTTGTCAGAAAAACCCCTTTGGGGAACTATCTTCGAAAAAAAATATTTTCAACTTTCAAGAATCTGTAGTTTTCGAGAAAATGAGGAAAAACGCCGAGATAGCGGTTTTTACCTAATTAATTATGCAAAAATTAGAGTAAAAATGACCTACTTTATCGCGTCTGTACCGAGGCAAGATTCAAAGCTATAAAACAGAAATATTTTTGTTTAAAAGAATTCTATCTTTTCTTTCTAATCCATGGTATGTTTTAAACCATAAACTTAATTTTGAATTTTTTATGGTTTTTTAAAAACTACCACCAAGCGCACTTTTTAAAATGGCTAAAAAATGAGCAACTTCAGAGGCAAAAACCTCACCTTGGTGTGTGTGATACCTAGCCAAAATGTATACTAGGACAAAGTTCAGCTCTTATATTAACAGAATATGAAATAAAAATTCTGGGTACTCCGGATTCGCCTTTATAAAATAAAAAGTTTCGTGACCACCAGTGGCAAAATGTCAAATTTGCATAAGTCAAATTTGTTGGGAAACGATGCCGCCTGATTTTTCTTTGTAGTTTCGGGACGTGGTATATTCGAAACGTAGGAGAAAGGATGAAAGCGACTTTAAATGAAGCTAAAATTAAGGATCTGAAAAATTGATATCCCTGATAACAAATTGCTGTGAAGGTTGGTGACACAATGTGCCAAATTTGCACACAAATGCATCTGCATATTCCTATCGTACACAAGGACGGGTTTCAATACTGTTAGCATCACGCAATATTTGAGGTTTGAAATAGCATAACAAAGAGAATAACTAATATTAGATGTTTTGTAATTTGTATGTTAGCTCTTCTTAATTGTACATTATAAAATTAAGGTTGCTCAGCAATTGTTGAGGGTCCACAATAGGGTTCTCAAATCCCATCTTCCCGCTTGTTTTTTTCTCTTAATCCCGCTATCCCGCCTCGGTTTACGTCCGAATCCCGATCCCGCCCTATTTTGTTTAAAGCGTTTCTTGCTATCATCATACAATGTTTAAGACCAACCTTTTTGAAATAGGAGGCTTGGATGTTTAAGGTTCTTGACTTAGCCATTAGCGACCGTAACTCTATTTTCTGTTTTGCTCATTTGTTTATTTATTTTTTTCTGAGCGTATCAGTACTAAAAAGAAGGTTTACTTCGATCTGAGTTCCGGCCATAAGAGCCAGTTGAATCGGGTAGAAAGATGTTTCGATTTCTTTGCAGCTAGATTCCATTAGGCGATGAAGCCAATTGTCTACGCTAACTACGGGTCATGGAAAATGTGTATGAACACAATGGTTGCACAGATTTATAGAATGTTCTCTTTCAGATATGGAAACATAAACCTGGTATGAAATCGAACAGCACAACCAAATGCAAACAACCCCCATGCAGAAAGTTTACTTTTCCAACCTTCTTGGACTTGGTCCTCGATTCTTGTTTAAAATCTCTTTATTTCTTCCATTCTTAAATCCGCACAAAAATAGGTTCGTGTGACCTGCAATAGTTTGCAAAACAGTCCTTTTTTCTCACGGTCGGTTTTAAAAGGTGCCAACATGTAGTCACGACAAAACTTAATTCCCGCATTCCGCTACTTTTCCCTTACGATTCCCGCTTCCCAACCCAATAAAAAAAGGAAATCCCGCTCCCGCTCATTATCAAAACTCCCGCTTCCCGCTCCTTTTTGTTAGCTCGCATCCTGAATATCACCACAAAAAAAAGCCAAATCTTGCATCCCGCCAAACCTATTGTGGACCCTCATTGTTGTTGGGTGTTAGAGTACTGTATTCTGTAATTGCGTGACCGTTGTCAAACTCAGCACAGTCAGACTTTATTTTTACCGGTAGCTGATAAAAAATAATGTGAGCTTATGAAGTGTGTAAAGAAATATTATTCATGTCTGATAACTTAACTTTACTTTATTCACCTGAATGAATTTCGCGGTCATACATCTTTCTTGGAGTGGGCACATGCTTTTATGGTACCGATAGTTCATTTGTCAAGGCATTTTGGGGGATTTGCCATTAATAACACTATACATCAGACCCTGTAAGTTTTCAAAGTTATATTTTGGTGAAATTGCCATGTCTCGCATATTAAAATAACGTAAGTAAAGAGAGATTAAAGTAATCATTGCCCCCTTTTCTCTCTTTTCTGAAATTCTTCCACCTGCTCTTTCTGCCTCTTCACTGTTCGTGCGTTCAACACTATTAAGTCCAGACACGATTTCGAACACCCAAAGATGGTCAAAGATCGCCAAGTGGACCGACCCGTAATTGTGCTATTGATTAGTTGAAACCTTAATTCATTGAACGGACCCTCACGGATCCTTGCAATTGTCCTCTAATAGAAAAAGTAAATCAGATGGAGGGAGTACTGCCGACACTGGGGTCGTTTTGGTGTTTTTTTTTTTAACCATGAATATCCTTCATGAACCCAGTTAGCTTTCCATTTATTCAACAAGGTTGTAAACTGATCAAAATCAACAAGGATGGATTTTTCCACTGGTACCTCATTTAGCAAATTTTCACCTATCTTCATGTACCTTGAGAGAGTTACACACACACAAAAAGCAACATTTGGGGTAAAAAAATCTACTTCCAATTTTTCTATTCACCTTCTATTCTCTACAGATTAATTAAATGTCCCTTTCCTGAAAAGTTATCTAGCCAAACTTCCTTGCAAAACAAAGATAGTGGGAAGACGATCAAGTGCCGGAGCAACAGAGCTTGTAAATAGCCAACTGGTTGCCTCCTGCCAGTTGGGGTTTTTAATCCTGTTAGGTTATATTTGAATTATTTGTTTCTAACATTTGAGTGGAGTGCCTGTAAATTAGCTGGACAAGCTAAGTGCTCTTTCCACTATAAACAAGCCTTTAACCTTTATTCTTTTTTTTTTTAACAGAAGAAGGAAGGCAAAGGGAAAAAAAAGAGCGGGAGAGAAAGATCGATATAGGTTCGAAAGAGAATGCTCCAAAAAAGCTTCTAAATTAGTGTACGTCCAATTGAGCATCTTTTTCAGCCTTTCCCATATCAAGCTAACTGGCTAGCCTGCATAACAGGCGTGCGTTTTTCAGGCGAGCGAAGGCAATTAAGCCCGAAGCCGGAGCGAATGCAAGTGAGGAGAGCCATTGAGGGGTATGTCTGGGGCGGAATGCAAAAAAAACAATGGTATGTGGACGGCCGTTGTTTTTTCTACGTCTTCCCCGTCGCGCTTGTCTGCGCTTCTCACTCACTTCGCGCTTGCCTTCGCTCTCCTGCAAAAACGCGAAAAAAAAATCATGCCTGTTATGCAGGCTACTAACTGGTTGAAAGCCGGTCCAAAACGGAGGATTTGGTCAAAAGGCGGGGTTTTCTTCTACTAAAATGGGCCGTCAAAAAAGAGTTAAAGGGGCTATGCCAAGCCAATTGCTAGTTCATTTTAAAAAGCTAATATGGTCTTCATTTTGCATAAATTTAGTTCCAAAAATCATGATGGTTCAGTTTTGTTATGTAACACTATATTTAGGCACTGAAACTGTTTCCTGTCTCTTTCTGTTGCTACTGATGGCCCAGCATGGACATGGACTGAAAATTGGAAAAATTGGGCCATCTTTTTCAAGTTTCTTTGAATGCATCATCCAAAAAGATATTTTGGCTAGTGCTCCCTGATAAAATGATATCTTCTTCATACCCCACATGTAACTCTACAATGAACATTTTTTGACTGGGTAAAGGCAGTAAGTAATGACTTTAGCACAGAATCATCTAAAACAGCAAATATACTGATTTGGGGTCTTCTTGACAAGAACTGTCACAGGGAGCCCAGAACCTCCGCTTCACACATTGACAATCTGTAACCAGCTGTTGTCATGTTTCGTTCCTGTGGATATATAATATTAGATACCGTCCAAACTTAAGGACACTGTAATTAGAGGGCCTGCTGCTAAGAGGGAAATATCTAAATAATGGATTTTTTTTGCCTGGTATCACAAATGGCTAGAGCTAAAATTTTCATGGTCGAAATTCCAAACCAAGGAAAAAATGTTTTTCCGTAATTTTTTGGGTAACGGCACATTTAGTCAGCAATTAAATAGCCCCCACCCCCTCGCATATGCCATAGCTTAACTCTTCTTTCCCTTTGTCTGAAGTTCTTTCCTTCTTTACTTTGGGAAACGGTTAGGCGTAAATAAAACTGCCGATGCCACTTTCAGTACCTCACTATGTTATTTAGCTCCTTGGTCGCTATCAACTACCCTGCGAGCAGGGGCCTTTCGATCTTCCTAGATAAGTCGGGAAGAGGAAGCGAAGGGTAGCTATCAACTAAACAGTGATTCGATCGGACGTTCCGGTGTGAAGGCACAAGCTGGGACATTGCGGGTACTGACGTTAATACTCCTGAGCAAAAGGCAGGTATTTCTTTAAACAAAACTCGGATCGCTGTAAACTGAAAAACGTAGTCAAGTTACGCTTTTACTCTGCGTCGCCTTACTGTCCGGTTAGTAAATGGTACTTACGTCGATATGAGTTCGCTGCCGCATACTGCGATAGGCCAGGGGCGTCAAGGATGACCTTTCTGATACATGGGTGGGAGTTGGTTAGGGTAGCTCAAAAGCGGTGAACAAGGAGTCTTATCTTCCATCGACAAATCCCAGTCGCATCGTCGTGAAAGGTGATTTACTCTGTTGGAGTACAGTTGAACCTCCATGTGCGACCACCTATTCAAAACACCAAAACCCACCCAGTTAGGTCTTACAGTTGGAATC